GGGGGGGGGGAGGGGGGCTGTTATTCGGCGATGCGGCCATAAAACTAGGGAGGCAGTGAGTTTATGTATGAGTGTCACCTACTGTACCCGCTCGCTCTCTCTTTCCCCCTCGTCCTGGTGGCACTTGACCTTCTTGCCCTCGCCTATATAACGCCCCACTGAGGCAGAGAGGAGAGGAGAGGGATAGTGCCATCTCAGTATAACTACTTTGCTCCCTTCAGCAGCCGACGCGCGCTGTTCACACAGCCATACGGCCCACACACACGCGCGTGTCGTCGAAACAACCCTGTCGTGACGACGATACGGCCCGCAGTCGTCGTCGTGGTCCTGGACGTCGTGACGATCATGTTTTCCGCGCGGCGCGCGTATCATTGTCACTGTGTGACTGACTGCAGCTCGCAGGACACGCACTTACATAACACTCGTCGCCCTGCATGATGCACCCCGTGAGCACGCCTCACTCTCTGTGTATATCGCCTGTAGACCGTGTTTTCGGATGGATGGGCGTGGCGGGAGATGGTAATATGGAACGAGGCGCCGGGGGAGGGGGACAGGGCGGGGCGGGGCGGCGCGGGCGGGGCGGTGCTGGCTCGGGGAGACACGGGGATCATTTACTCCTGCAGCGTGGTCGTCGCCGCCGCGGCCACCGCCGTCGTTGTCGCCGACCCTCCCATTTGTGTCCGGTGGTGTCATGATGATTATTTTGGTTGGCGTCACCATTGCGTGATGCCCGAGAGTGCCTCGTTGTTTCTTTTCTTTTTGTCTTTTCATATTTTACTTTTTTTTTCGTTTGGAGTCTGCTGAACATTCAATTATTTTTCGTTGCGGCCCAACAAATTGCAGAAACACTCCGTAGCCATAGCGCAAGAACAGGAGCGAGGGAAAGACGGAGACAGACAGACAGACAGAATGTAGTACCACATAAACCCCCACAACACCGAGTTTTGGGACCAAGACTACTGTACTAGATCCTTGTGTTTTCAAGTACATATCACTTGAATCAAGGCATGTACTCGAAAAACCAAGGCTCAAGTACAATGTACTCAGCCCAAGTACTGCTTAAGGTGTACTACATTTTCAACAAAATGGCTGGCGCTTCGCATAAGGCAGTCCCAGGCCTAGCTGCGGTTGAAAACTTCTCGTATACGGGAGATACCCCTGAGGACATCATGGACCCAGCCGTGTGTGTATCCATTCTGCGATCTCTCCCCCCCTTCCCCCC